GCTGAGTTCCCTTAAATATAGGTCTCAATCTTTCTTTCATTTTTCTGGGGTCTGACAATGGTAAAACTAGTCACCTAGGGCTGTCTTCTCAAGTCAAGAGTGTAGGCATCCTTTCTTTATTGCCATCAGGACCTCACTCTCTCTACTCACCCATTAACAATTACCTAACCTAGATAGGGAAATCTTTTCTTTAAGGCAGCAAGCATGTAATTTACAATGTTAACCATTCAGGACCTTCATTCACTCAGTCAAGTATGGGGATGTGATTGGCACTGGGAAGACAGCAGTATATAAGGTAACCAGAGATGATGAATTTGAGTGCCCTTTTTCTTTGATCTGGTCTTCAAACATTTTTCCTGGAGAATCATCTGATGATATTTTGAACATTTAAACACGATATCTGAAGTTTAAAATGTCTTGTACAATTTGAACTATGTAAAAATTTTTATCACAAGTTGAAATTGTTACAAAGGATGTAATTCTTAACATGCATTTAATATTGTCACTTTAAATATAGTTACTACATTATTTTAAATGTATCTAATGAAATATGAGTATTATAACAATTTAATACCCATGATCAGGCATTGCAAAATGTATGAAAAAGTATTTTGTAAAATTTGGAAATTTTAGACCTTTCTTTTCTCTCTTTGAACTCACATTTCCAGTATACTTTCTCTCTGGATTTTATATGTATATATGAAATCAAAACTGTGGTTCTACATATTTAGGCCAGTTTATGGAAATGTCCATGGCAGGCCAATGAGCCAAATTACATTTTTTTTCAGAAAAATTCTGCCTTTATTATTTCAATTCAAATAGATATGTTAATAAGCATTATAAGAAATATTATAAAAACTATGAGAAATAAGTTACAAAATGAATCCTGTAAGACATTATGAAAAGTAGTCAAGATTAAAATAATATAGATCTAATATGAATAATTAATTCATTTTCATAAATTATAAAAAGAAGATAAATCAATATGCTAGTTCTCATTAACTAATTTGTAATAAAGCAATGAAGGTACAGTTTATGAAATAATGATGTTATTATTCCTCTAATAAGATGTGTGTCTCTGTCCAGTCAAAAGGCAAAGAATGATCAAATGAAGCAAACATGATCCAACTGTATGCCATCTACATGAGACATACTGGATTCAAAGACACTAGTAAGTTGAAAGTAAAAGGATAGAAAGATATATACTGTACAAACAGTATCCAAAAGAGAGCTGGAGTGGCTATCCTAATATGAGGCAAAACAGACTTAAAGACAACATTTGTTACTGGAAACAAAAGAGGACACAATAATAAAATGGTCAGTCCATCAAGAAGACAAAATAAGTATAAGCATAATGTATTCAACAACAGAGCCCCCCAAAATATGAAGTAAAATACGTAAGTGAAAAGGAGAATTTGAAAACTTCAATCCCCCACAATATGGCAACTAGGCAGAAGATCAACAAGAAAACAGAAAACAGAAACACTATAAACCAACTAAATGTAACAGACATTTATAGAACATGCCAACAACAACAGGCAGAATATCCATTCTTCTCAAGTGCACATGGGACATTTTCCAGGATATGTTAGGAGTATATGTTAGGAGACCATAAAACAAATCTTAATACATTTAAAGGCATTTAAACTATACAAAGTATGTTCTCTGGCCATAATGAAATTCACAGAATGTGAAAACTAAACAGAACTCTCTTAAATAAAAAATGAGTCAATAAAGAAATCACAAATATTTCATAATTTGAGATAAATGAAAACAAAAACACAACAAACCAAAGCTCTCGAGATGCAGCTAAAATGGCAATTAGAGGGGAACTTATAGTTAAAATGCTTATATTTATAAAAATAATAAAGGTCTCAAATCAATAAACTGAACTTGTACTTTAAGAAACCAGAAAAAGAATAATAAACTAAAATGAAAGCAAGCAGATGGAAAAAATAATAAAGATTAGAGTGCAAATAAGCAAAATAGAGAATAGAAATAATAGTGAACAACAATGAAATCAAAAGATCAACAAAATTAACCTTTAGCTAGGCTGACCAAGTAACTTGAAAGGACTCAAATTACTGAAATCAGGAATAAAAGAGGGGACCTCGGTACCACCCTCACCAAAATAAAAAGGATTGTAAGAGAATACTGTGAATAGTCACACACCACCAAGTTAGACAGCCTAGTAGAAATGGACAAATTCTCAGAAAAATACTAGCAATTGAAACTGAAATAAGAAAACATTCAAAAAATCTGAATAAATTGTAGAATCGATAAACAAGATTACACTGTATAGCACAGGGAAATATACACAAAATGTTATGATAAATCACAGAGAAAAAAAAATCTGAATAGACTTATAACAAGTAAAGAGATTTAGTAAGCAATTTTAAAACTTCCCACAAAGAAAAGTCTAGGTCTAGGTGGCTTTACTAGTGAATTCTACCACACATTTAAAGAATAATTAATATCACTCCTTCACATACTCCTACAAAAAATTAGAAGAGGAAGGAATGCTTCTCTACTCATTTTATGAGACCAGTATTACCTTGATACCAAAATCAGACAAAGACATGAAAAAAAAAAACTACAGATCATTCCCTGTGAATGTAGATGCAAATATCCTCAACAAAATCCAAATCCAGCAATGTGTACACACACACACACATACACACACACATATATGATTACACACAATGACCAAGAGGAATTTTTTCCCAGAAACGCAAGATTGGTTTAACATCTGAGAGTCAGTCAACGCGATACATTATATTAATAGAATAAACCACAGCAACCACAACGATCTCAATAGATGCAGCAAATTCAGTAATAACTTTTCCATCGATTACATGATGAAATGATAATATTTTGCATACATTGAGTTAAAGAAAATATATTACTCAAGTTAACTTCACCTGCTTCTATTTCCTTTTTAAAATGTGGCTTCTAGGAGATTTCACATTACATATGTAGCTTGCATTTCTGGCTACATTATACTTCTATTGGACTGAGATGGTCTGAATGTATCCCAGTTTCAAGACCAGTGGTCTCATGACATGGGGTGTTTTTCACACATAGTTCCTTATGTTATTTATGAGGAGAAAACTGAGACTGAGAATGGTTAACCTGCCCAGGTTAACACGCTCCACCCTAGATGGCAGAACTGGGATTGGAATTCAGCTCTGCCCGTAAAGCCCGAGTTTGCCCTATTTACATCACTGGTTTTCCTGAGGGATTAAACAGTCATCTAAGGTGTTTAATATTTAACTTTTAGAATTTCTTTCTTCCTTCCAAATGTAGGCAGAATTTAGCCTCCTCTCCTTTTTCATTTTTCATTTGGATTTATCCTTCCATTACTGTTAATGGAATTTCACTACCATGATCGCCATCTATTTTGATGTTTTGGGTAATATTTTATTTTGTTTTGTTTGTTTTTGTTTTTGTTATCCACCCCTCAGGACTACCTCCGTGTTCTTCTCACTGGCCTTCTAGTCTACTGTTTACCTGAAACTGCATGGCAGGTGATAGCAGCTAAGATTGTTTGTTGAAACATCTTTTCTGTGTCAAACATCACTGAAGGCTTTCCACTTAAAATATTGCTAATCATCTTCAAAACAACCCCCACCTCACAGATGACGGCTGTTGCTTCCTTCACTTCAAAGATGAGAAAACTGAGGTTCCCAAAGCTTAACTGCAAAGTTACACAGTAACAGAAGGAGCTGGGACTAAAGCCAGGTCTCTGACTTCATCACCCCTCTGTGTCCATCATACCCCTCCTCCATGTCCCTTAATGTGAGTTAAATATGGGTCAACCTAAAATATTAGCATTTTTGTATGTATGATTTATACCTTTATGAAATTTTTCTAAAGGTTTTTTCCATAAAAGTTTGCATGTCTTTTTTTCTATTGAAAGTTGACATCTGTTTTTCTTCATATTATTATGGGTTATGTTTTGCAAACTTAATACAATGATCTAAACTTATAAATGAAATTTGGATGCAAGGCGACTATAAAGTCCTTGGCTCTTATGTAAAGAGCCATGCACAAAGTAGACACTGAGTACACGTGAACTGATAGCAATGAGGTTGATGGACAAACCTGGACTAAAATCAAACATCCCCCTTTTCTCAGAATGCTTTCCAAGCACTGTCTTTACATTTAATCATCCTTTGCACAAGGCTGGTATCAATGAGTCCTATCAAGTAAAACTTCTGTTTTTCTTTTTTACTGAACGTTCACAGTCTTCAAAATAAACATTTATAACTCTTAATCTTCTTTATAAGATGCTGAAAATATTAATATCAAATTTGACAAATGGGCTAAATATTTAGTCAAAAATCACCTTTACTTTTCTCTGCATAGAATCATTTATCAGTAGAAAGAGTTAGCCTTCTAGAATGTGAAAGCAAAGAATTAAACACAGTACCTCCAATATATACTGCCAGGCCACATTCTTTTAATAGGAGAAAAATGAGTTAAGCACATTTGAGGACTATTTCTGAATTTTTATGGGATATGAATTTTGAAAATAAGATACTTTCACTCTGAGGGCAGGACTGTCAATTGTTATTCATTTAATTAGGTGTTACTGAGAACACTTCAAGGGTCAGCCTTTCCAACCCTTATCCTTTGGTAGAATAGCAACTGATGATTTTAGGGCCTGTCACTGCGGCTCTGTTTTGCTCAGATATATTGCATGTTTCGGATGATAGCCTGATGTCCAACCAGTGGGGCAGGAGACTGAGAAATGGGGAGAGGGGGGCAGGGGCATTAAGCCCAGGCTATACACACTACCTGAGGCAAACTATTTTATTTCTGGGTTTTAGTTTTCCAACTTTATGTAAAATAGGAATAATATTTGCTTTTGCTTTATCTACTCACAAAATGTATTGGGACAAGTAAGGGAGATAACAAAAGAAAATAGCTTTGCAAGCCAGGATTACAGTGTGTTTCAGTGTGTGATTTCTCCTGCCTTCCTGCTGAATTTGCCTTACCTCAGTACAGGAGATGCATCCCGGGGCTCCGCCCATGACCAGCCAAGCGAGGCTATGTTACAGCACGTGAGACTCCAAGTTAGTAGGTCAGTTTCAGCCTAGAAGCTCACTGTCCATGAATCTGTTGAGATAATGAGGGCTGGGAATTATTATAACTAGTATCAGCAGCAAACATTTATCTGCAGCCTCTCTATGTACAGAATAGTGTATGTCTTCTGTTCTGTTCATGGTTGTATTCCCAGTGCCTGACACAGTGTCTGGCCCATAGTAGACACTCGATAAACAGTGAGTACAAAAATGAGTCAAGAAGAACTAGGAAAACGAAGAAATACACAAGGCATAGCCACTCCCTCCAAAGATTTATGATATAGTCAAGTTGACTGGGCCTAAAGAGAAAAAGGGAGAAGCGGTGGAACAGTTAAGTCAGTCTACATAAATGCCCTAGAGCATCACGCAGGAATTACCGGAGGGGTGAAGGCTTCTCTCCTCGGTGGGAGCACTGGTGTTGAATGACAAGCCTCCCAGTCTTCACAAAGAGTAACACCACCTGGAAGACCTTTTATTGTGCTTGGGGGCTGTACTTTATCAGCAGGGGGAGATTTTAGATACTTTCCTTTGTCAGTGAGTTCATCCTGGACAGGGCGCAAAATAAGCAGAATGAAGTTTGTAATAACAAGGATGCAGCTTTCAGTTTGGTATTGCCAAAGAAAATGCTGGAAAGGGGAGTGAGATTCTTTTCACAATTGGTTGTGGTCTGTTCATTTTATTTTTAACCTCCAGCAAACATAACTCAATAATGCTACAGTTCTCTAGAAAATGGCACATCTCCTTTTCAGAGTGCTTTGGAGACATTTTCCTCTTTCCCTCCTCCTGTCCCTCCTTGCTTTCCTTCCTTTTTCCTCTCCTTTTCATCTTTCCTTCCTATAGCATTAATCGGGCAACTAATAATCAATAAAAACTTACTGGGAATTGTGTTCCAGGTAATACGACAAGCAAAAAAGATGCAGAATTATGTAAAGGAAATCCATGACTTATAGGAACTCAGTTTGAAAGTGGCAAATGGCCAAGGAAACATAATCACGTCCACATGACACATGTTATAACAGTAAAAAAAACTTTATTATGATACTGTCAGGAGCATAGAGGAGGGCTCAACTGACTGTCCAGGAGTGAAGAAAGGCTATGGCATTTGAACTGGGTCTTGAAACAAAAGGAAGCATTAGCTGATGAAAAGAGGTGAGGTATTCCAGGAAGTAGAAATATCATGTGCAAAAGCCCAGAGTTAGGAAATGACGTGGCCAATTCAGAGAGTCTAGTAGTGTGAGGAGTGACAGGTGATAAAGCCAAAGTGGCAAGTTGCAAATAAGTTCTGAAGGGTCTGGTCTGTTAGCAAGTTTGGATTCGATCCTGTGGAAGTTAGGGAATGGCTATTGACAAGGACAGTATAACAGAATCGCAGCTGTTTTTTTGAGCTTATTAAAGGGAAGATTCAGAAGTGGAACTGGGAGGGAAGCCAGCTAAGGGGCTGTACAGTAGGGCAGGACAGAGAAAAGATTCAGAGCTAAGACATGGGGAGGGGCAAGGGACTAAGGGGGACTAACTTTGAGTAATATTTCTGCACGAGAATTGACAGAGTATGGCAACCAGTTGTTTTCGAAGGGTGAGAGAGAGGGAAGAAGAGAATAACTCAGGTTTCCAGCTTGAGAAACTGGTCATGTGATGATGCTATCAGGTAGGCAGAGAGCAAAAGAGGACAAGCGGGTTTGGCGGAAGATGGTAAGTTCAGGTATCGACACACTGAACTCATGTGTCTGAGATAGATGATATCTGAAAACATGACAGTGGATAAAGTCACCTAGAAAAAGTATACAGTAGTGGAGAAAAGGACCAAGAATATAAGCGAAGGAACTCCAACAGAAAAGGGATATAAAGACTAACCCAAAGCCAGGACTAACGATGAATCCTTTCCCATCTGCGGGGTCAGTCATATAGGCGGGGCAGCAGGAAGAAACCAGCACCACAGAGGCGCAGCATCAAGCTGGCCTCACTGCCATGCTGCCTGACTGGTTCTCTGTTTTTATGAACTGGAGTCTTGATTCCCTGTCTTTGCTCAAGTTCCTATAATGAACCCGTGTTTTATTCTCTTTCCTCAGTATCCCAGTCCCTGCAGCCTGAGTCCTTCCTTAGGTTCCTAAGACAGAAGTCTTGCCTCTTGGCATCCAGGTTTATTTATTCCCTGGTGTTAAAATCCTGAGATGCCCTGTCTGTCCTCACTCACATACCCTGTTGATACCTAGAACTCTCTGGGCTTGCTTATAATCCCTAGGGGCATCTGGGTTGTGTTTGGGTAGCTCTTGCTAACAAGCAATGACAGACTCTCATATTACTACAGTTCAATACACTTACAGCTATTATTTCCTAAAACTGCTATTCGTTAATTCCACAATGTCTTCATTTAGTGCATGTATTTGACAATTCTTGGGTGCCTACTGTGTGCCATGATTGTTCTAGCTGCTGAGGATGCAGTGGTGAGTAAAACAATGTACCTTCCTTCATAGGGCTTGTGAACTAACTAACAGAGGGGACAGATAAACAATTTAAGTACCTAGTGGGCCAGATGGAGAAAAATCAAACCACCTGGCAGGAAGGAGGAGGCTAGAATGGAGGGAGGGGGCTCCTAATTCACAATGTCAAACTGAGAAGACATCACTGAGAAAGTAAGCTTGAGTAGAGACCTAAAAGAAGTGAAAGAGAAAGAGGGAAAAAGAGTTATTGACTCCTGCTGGCAGGGAAGGGACAAGTATTCCAGGCAGTGGGAGCTGTAAGAGCAAAGGCTGAGGCTTTGGTGACTTGGCCTGGTGTGTTAAAGAAACGAGAATTCTATTCTGGGGTAGAAATTGTCGGGGAGGGATTAGTGGTGGCAGGACGTAACCTGGAAGAATCTTTCGATAACTGAAAATGTTTGGACTTCTATTCTGATAAGTGTAAGTATTCAGTCAGAGGAGTTGATGTAATCTGTCTGAAAGGAGCATTCTGGCTGCTTGATACAGAATAGCTTGTAGACAAAATCAGAAGCTGGGAAACTAGTTAGGAGTTGAGAGCAACAATCCAGGGGAGAGGTTGGTGGCCTGGACCAGGTTGCTTGTGGTGGGAGTGGTGAGAAGTGGCTGGATTCTGGATATGACTTAAAGGTAGGATAAGCAGCGTGATGGTTTGATGTACTGTTAGACAAACAGAAGTCAAGAAGGACACCCCAAGGTTTTTGGCCTAAGAACAGTGGAGTGCCATTTAAGGAGATGAGGATTAATGAGGCGGGGGAGTTCAATTTGAGACATGGGAGTTAAATTTGGGATGTCTGGGAAGCCATGTCCTAGGCAAGCAGGGAGAGGATCCGGTGCCCCAGTGGGGCTGGCCTTAGACGGCGGCATCGTAGGGTGTGGACAGGCCATCCATGGACCCGGAGGGAAGGTGAGGTGTACAGGGACACATGCAGAGTGACTGGAAGAGGGAGCAGGTGAGGATTTGGGGAGCTCTCCTGTGACTGCTTCTATTTTCCCAGTGAAATAGGAAACCAGGTCAGCAGTTGAGAGTAAGGGTAGGTGAAGGTGTGAGGAGGTTTTAAGACAGAGAAGGTGTGAAACAGTCTTCTAGGACGGTGTTTGTCAGTTTCAGCTCATGACCTAATTGTGAGTCTTCAAATCAATGTAGTGATTTGAGATCAATTTAATGACTTTAAAAAGTAAAATTTTAAATGAATTTGTTGCATGTATTAAAAGTGAGAATTGCTTAATGAAAGCTTTATTTCAGGTGCATGTGTGTATGTGTGTGTGCTGGGTTGTAGCAAGATATTTTCAAAAGCACTGGCCCAGGGCAGTGGGAGGAAATGAACAAGAAGGGACTGTCAAAGTCAGGGACTGAGTTACTGGTCATATAATTGACATATTTTCACATAAATAAGATTAGAATATAGATTCATAAGATCTTGGCTTTGGGCCTCCCACTCACCTCTACCTCCACTATAGGAGACTTTTATGTCGGAATATTTTCGATGGGACACTCATCAGCTTAAAGGTTCTAGATTTCAGAAAGTAACTTTCCTCTCTATAAAAAGCAGGGCCCTCACAATACTCTCTGAGATGTTAAAGTAGTGAGTAGAGCGTCTGGCAGTGGGGCTTTGGAATTCAGTGTAGTTAATATGAAGTTTAACCTTATAATATAATACTAAACTTGATGGCTCCCCCCCACCCCGGTTTTAGAGAGCTTTAAATGCTCTAAAACAAAACCAGTGTCAGCACACCAAGAAACCTTGTTTTTGTTCAAACTTTAGCCCAGAATAATACCATCTGGCTTTTAAATGTATGCTCTCTCCCCTTATACTGCACTAACTGAAAATTTAATGGATGATTGAGCTAATTTTCCTGCCTATATTTTCAAGGTTTCTCGTTGGATCTGCAGATGAGTCCAATCAAATATAATTTTATTTAGGAAAACATTTGTTCATTTTAAAGAATTTATAAGCCTCAGTTCCTGAATATTTTCCCTGCAAAACAGGTTAATGAATAATAGTTAAGAAATATGTCAACAGGTGCTGTGAAAATGGCCATTTATATTTTTTATTCTAATGATCTCAGGTTATTTCCTAGACATTGTAATTTAGAATAACAGAAGTACTTCTCCAGTTCTATATTTTGATTGTTAAAAATGGTTTTGAAATTAACTCAAATCAATTTTCTATGTACCCATTGATTTCTAAATCATTTACGAGTTTTTTTTAAGTACTTTTTCCTTATTGTAAAGGTAATATCAAACTTAGTTCATTAGACAGGATATTAGACATAAATATTATACCTTGAATGTATTTTTCCTTTGCAATGTTGTTCTTTTTCTACTGTATTTATTCTGATTCATATAAAGTTGAAACAGTGAAGTAACAAAAGCAGAAATGACAATGAGGACTCATAAAAATGTACAGTTTGCCTACATCAGTAAGAGTGTGCTGGTTTATAACACTATTTAATCTTAGTTCAATTGTAAATCAAAACCAAATAGAATCTGAACCCACTTTCTATTGCTTTGGGGATTATCAGTCTATATTCTAGGATTCTTTCAGTAGTTTCACTTCTCTAAATGCCAAGAGAATTAAAACTGCGAAACAGGAACATGAAATGCTTATCTTACGTTCTGTGGATCGCTCTGCTATTCCTTTATCCAGACCCTTACTTTTTTTTTTCTCTATGTAAAATGTTTCTTTAGGAAAAACACAGGTTTACTTCCTCTTCCATCGCTTCCAATAAGACCTCTACCATGGAAAGCTCTCTCTCCTTCCATTTTGCAAGCCTCAACAAGTCTGCTGCTGAGTCAGAACCTCCTTTTTTCCCCTGATGTGAGAAATCTTTCTCCCTTGAAAATTCATAAAGGTTTGGAAATGTTGAGCCTCCCTAGGGGGAAGGCGCGGGGGTGCCAGAATGAATGCGGTGGGGAGGAGTCCCACACACGGTAGTCCTGATGGTGGCACTTTAAACGCTTTCTGAAATAGGAGGACTTGGAGCCGGCCCAGGGTTACCACGGGAGCTCTCCTCGGAACCCATTATATGCGTATCTGTGTGTAAATAACCACACGGAGCCGTGTTAGGTTCCAGGGACTTTGTTCCTCATTACTGGAGTGAAAATGTTTGGTATATGGCCGCGGCCTCGTGTTTACCCTACAGAAAACACCTTCATGCGGCTGCCGGAAGGTAGATGACAGCGCGCAGCACGAAAGGCTGAAAACTAAAACCAGCGCTA